ACAGTGAAAATCTAATAAGTTAAAATGAGGTGTGAGAAGGTCACCAGAAAGACAGCAAGGAACAACAATCCAAATCCTAGCGAACAATGTCTCTCAGGGGGGTCATTCTAGCTCTGAGTTTTTAAAAAATATGTGAGGGTTTTTTGGAATCACAATTTTTTTTCTTTTTTTTGTGTGATTTAAAGTAATAAAGATAATCAAATCTCCTGGCCACTCTAGGTGACTGTATATTTAAATTACCAACAGTGATCACCAAAACAAAGGTAAAGAACTTGCTTTTCTACATAGCTGAATCTTTCTGAAGAACCCAAAAGAAGACTTCTCTGTTTTGACAAAGATACCCCGTTTTGCAGCGTTAGTTATAGGGAGTTTCTGGTTACACACATGTAAGTCTTGGCAGCAGTCTTGTAGTTTTACCTTCTGCATCTGGGACTATGAAAGATTTGTATATGTCACTGGTTTCAGCCCTCCAATAATGAGTGATGAAAATTCCTATTTATCACCTCTACTGTCAATACCCATGTGACAGCAGAAAATAGCTTTACAGTGGGCCTCTTTATCCACGGATGTGGAGGACTGACTGTATGCACTGAGATAGACCATTTTACATGAGGGACTTGAGCATCCTTGGATTTTGGTACCCACTGGGGTCCTGGAACCCATCTCCATGGATACCAAGGGACAACTGGATTTACCTAGCCCACATTACTGTTGCATAGAATCTGGAGAAATAACTCCCCCAGTCCATTCAAGAATCTTCTTTTCCTAATTAAGGTTTGATAACTCTACCTAGTACTGATTTTTACTCTTTTTCATTCACATTTGAAAAGTCGATTTCATTTCTATAATACAGTGTCTTTGAGTTCTCAAAATCTTAACAACTTCTTATCCAGGGGCCTCTTTAATATTGAATATTTTACTTAGTTTAGTTACTTAAAAACATCTCATAGAGTCTTTACTTATTAGTTTACTTGAGTTTTCTTTTCTTTACTGTGTGCAATTATCCATTTTGCAATCACATTACTATATGCAAAATGTTATTTCAATTATAAAAGCAACTATAACCCATGATGATTAAGAAAACTATTTTGCAAGTCAGTCATTGTTTACTTCACAGTATAATCAAAGGCTTAAGGATAGAGACTTTTTTTTTCCGATTTAAAAAAATAATAAAGGTAATCAAACCTTCTCGCCAATCTAGATGATTGTGAAATTTAATTACCAGCAGTTATCTTTGAAACAAAGGCAAAGCAATTTCTTTTACACATAATTTGAATGTTCCAGGAGGAAATTTCTGAAGAGTTCTAAAAAAAATGTATTTTCAAAATTAATTTTAACTTGATTATTGTATTTGTTATGTGTCGCTTTTTTCCCCCTCTCATTCCTCCAAGGATCAAAATTTATTCACACCAAGCACTTAGATGCTACATTCTCTGCTAAATGCTCCACACACACTATCTCAGTTAATCCCCATAATATTTCTATTAAGGAGGTCCATTTCAGATAGATGAAATGACACATGTAGGTGATGGGGTTCAACAGCAAGTGCGAACATTCTCAGTAAAGTCAGATAACTTTTGTGCTCAATACTGAGCAAAGGATTAGATCTTTACTCTGTGCAAACACACCCAGGCCTGTATCTTCCACAGCTATTTCCCTAAGAGAGGTTTAACCCATGTTATTCAAGTTCACCTCTCCACATGCTGGATGCTACAGAATCAACTGTCAATTGCCCAAACATGTCCTAGGGCTATGTCATTGACCACACCGGTGCCTGAACAGAAAGAAGGCCTCCTACATCCGCAGTCTGGCAGCTCCAGGTGTGATGCTGCTTTGCGGCTTAGGAGTATAACTGTGCAGAGAAGAGGAACCACCAAGAAAAAAAGATCAATAGCCCTAAGAAAGGAAGTTGAAAATCAGGTCATGAACTTCAACGCCAGGCCTTTACCTGAGCTCTTTTCTCTTCCTGAAATACCTTTCATTTTCTCTGATTTCTGGAAAAATCCTACTCATGCTTCAAGGCCCAACTCATAGGTTATCTCCACTGACTCCCCTACACTGAGGTCACCCTCACTTCCCTGTGGTCTCCCCCACATAATTCACTAATACAGATTGGTATGTGCTTGTTCACCGCTAATGCTGGAAGGTGAGGGAAAGGGTCTTCACTCATCTCTCTATTCCAAACACTTGGGACAATGCCTGAAACTTTAAAGACCCTCAATAAATGCTTGTTTAATGGAGCTCAGACCTCAAGATCAAGTTTCACATGCAATGCAAGAGGCGGATTTTTCTGTGTGTTGGACTTATTTCTGCACCCAAAGTCTAAGCTAGTGACTGCTTTTTCCCCTCATTACTCCAATGAGCAAAGCTTATTCACACCAAGCACTTAGGTGCCACACCCTGTGCTAAATGCTCCACACACATAATCTCATTTAATCCGGGCAATTCCTCTGAAGTAGGTCCTATTACTAGCATCTGCCCTTGCTTACGGGTAGGTAAATTGATATTTAAAGTTCAATAACACCTAAAGTTACCCAGCTGGTCAGTGGTGGTGCCAGAACTCAAGGACAATAATCCTAGAACTTCAGAGCTAGAAGCAATCCCAAAATTATCTTCCTCACTTAATGTCCTTGGCGCTGAGGCCTCTGATTTACTGCCTGGCACATAGTAGGTCCTCCAAAAAACAAAACAAACAAACAAACAAACAAAAAAAATGGTGACTGGCTGATTCTGACCTTTGCCTGGGAGAACCCAGCTGCCATCACCAACAGGCTCTATTCTTTCCTGCCCAACACCTCTCACAGGTGTGAATTGCTTGTGTCCTCTGAATTATTCATGATCCACACCTTGAGAAGTGTGCTTTAAAAAGGAACTACAGTTCTCATTATGTTCCAAGACAAAATGCCTGACTAATTGGTGAATTAGATGATATAAGCTTCTGGTCCCTGCCGACTCACACCAAATAGTATATCCAGGCCCAGTTTTTGAATTTCAGCTTTCACGTGATTCCCTAGCTTCTATTAGGATTTAAAAGAGTGGTGGCTGAGCAGCAGAGAGAACCAGCACAAGCATCTCTAGCCAGCCTGCAAAGCAATGACCCTCCCCTAAAGCTGACATGGTGTCTCGGGTCCACATGTTCTTCTGAAGGCTGAGCTTCTCCAAGAAAAGTTCTTGAGCTACATCAACACCTGAGAATTCAGATGCCGAGTCACCCATAATTCATAGCCTCAGTCAATCAATCATGGGAAACTGCTGCCTCCGGGCCCTCCCTCCACGCTTCCTTCCCCTGGCCAATTCTCCCTCCTGAGTTGATTTTCCAAGTGGGAATTTTTATGAGAGGGCTAACCATCTGCTAATCGTGAGCCAACATCACTGTATTTTAAATGCAATGTTAGTCAACCAAGATGAATTGAAAAGCAGCAGCCGTGGTTTGGGGGGGTACTAAAAATAAGCTGCAGCATTTGCTGAGTTCTCAGAATTCAAACCACAAGCGGTCAACTTGTTGCTGCTCTTAATCAGACACCACTGCTCTGTCCCATTGGCTACTACAAGGAGGAACTTGAACTGGTAACTATACCACAGGCCGAACAACCCTGTGCTTTTGGCTAGCTGGCAGTGATCAGAGAAAGGAAGTGCTGTTTCTCTGGAACTAAACTTGCCAAGAAAGATAACAGCTGGCTTTCAGGCGATCACCTGTGGCACGTCACAATTGCACCTTCGTCAGATTCACCTGGCTTTTATGATTTAATTAGTCACACATCTACAGATACGGTTCCGCCATGCCTGGCTTGCTGTCTAATGCCTCCAAGGAGGTGTATCTTCTTTGGAATTTAATTTTGGGTCACAGTGAAACACCACCACACAACAGGAATTACTATCATATTAATGCACTGAGCATTCCCATTGGGCCTTCGAGACCTTCTTGACCCCTGCGTACTGTGCACTACACTGAATGTCTTATCAGACAGCCCTCGAAGGTTTGTCATTAAAGTTTCCAGGGCTCAGAGAGGCAGAAGAATTCTACCTAATGCATCATTGCAATTGATTCCTGTCATAATCAGCAACGGGGTAGGGGGTGGGGGTTTCTTCTATTGATTCCTGCTCCTTTGGATTCATTCGCAATTTTCCCCTCTTCAATTAAACCCGCTGATCAACCACAGAAAAGCTGAAAGAAGCCCTCCCTTTGCTCAGCTGCACTTGGAGGGGGAAAAAATGTATGTCTGGAAAGTAAAATTACAGAGCGTATTCCAAGAGGCCACACAGGGAAAATCTCTCTCTCTCTCTCTCTCTCTCTCTCTCTCTCTCTCTCTCTCTCTCTCTCTCTCTCCCTCTCTCTCTCTCTCTCTCTCTCTCTCTCTCTCTCTCTCTCTCTCTCTCTCTCTCTCTCTCACACACACACACACACACACACACACACACACAGGCAAATTGTCAGTGGCTGGGCTCTGCCTCAGGTTTGCTAACTCACTTCCATCAGGACCAAAGGACCCAATCCCTTCATTGCTTCCATCTCAAACCCAAGCCCCAAGCGCCTGTCTCCACGGAGCTAATTTCCGAAACAAACAAAGAAAATCGAGTCTGCCAGGAGGAGCGAGGGTTTGCTCCCCTGTGCCTTGAATTCGGGGCATCCAGCTTGGTCAGGGGGCCCCGAGTCGCCCCTAACCTTCCCTCCCCGCCCCGCCAGCCCCGGCTCCAGCGGCGCCCGAAAGTGAGAGCCTGCCCCGCTCCTCCCGCCTCTCCCCGCCGCTCTCCGACCCCCGATCGCCCGCGTCCGCAAACTCGGGGCGCCCCGGCTCCCCATCTCCGCGCTGTCAGATGTCAGCGGGCGCCGAGGGTGCCGGCCACCCCGACAAGTGTCACCCCGGACGCTCGCTCCCAGTCCGAGGGCGCGGGCAGGGCGGACGCGGCAGGCGCTGCCCACCCCGGGGCGCGGGGCGCGGGGCGCGGGGCAGGGGGCGAGGGACCCGGCTCGCAGCCGCGCCCGGCGGGCGGGCACTCACCGGAGGACACGGAGGAGCCGGACAGGCTGGAGTTGCTGGACGCGGCCATCTCCGCGCGCCCCGCTGGTCGCGGCGGCTCAGCCCCGGTGAGGACGCAGCCTGCGCTGCCCTCGCCCGGCCGCTCGCGGCTGCCGCGGCCCCCAGCCCATGGCCAAGTCCCGGCGGCGCCGCGAGCACCAGCCCTGGACTCTGCCTGCACTTCCTGCTCCGCCAGATGACGCGCTGCCGCCGCCGCTATTTATTTGTGGTTTCCGTCCCGCTCGGCGCCGGAGCGCGCTGCTCCCCGGGCGCCCCGGGGGTAGGTAGGTGGGCACGGAGGGAGGCCCGGGGGCGGACCGATCCGACCGATCGTGCCTCCAGCCCGGTGATCGCTCCCCCGCGCAGGCAGGGACGGGCGCCCGGGTGTCCCTGAGCCGCCCCGCCAGCTCCCCGCACCCTCCCCGGCGCCCCCGCCTCCCCAGCCGCACGCTCCGAGCTGCCCGGGCAGGGGCGGCGGGAGACAGACAGACAGAGCGACCTCCCCTCCTCCCTCCGCCCCAGCCCCGCTCGCGCGCGCACACAAAGGAAGGAGAGGGGACGCGGGAGCCGGGAGCTGGTTCGGCTGCGCGGGCTGCACCGCACCTGCCTCGGGGGCTGGCGGGGGAGGCTGCGGGCTGCGGGGCCGGAGGGCGCGGGACCGAGGAGCGGGACCCCTGGGCGCCGGGAAGCCGCGGGGGGCGCGGGGCGCGTTTGGCTGCGGGCGCAGAGCCGCTCTGGGGGTTTGAATGGGATCAGGAGCGGGGACGGGGTGTTGGGGCTCCCTGAGCCCCGCCAGACTGAGGAGCGGCTTGCAGGCCGGGGTGGAAAAGGTGAAGGGGTGGAGGTGCGGGAAGGCGGGGTCACTGAGGACACGTAGTTTGGCGGAAGGGGGCCTGGGAAGCCAGGGGCCTGGGGAGCGCTCCTTCCACTCCCCTCCAAACTGTCCTTTGTTGCTCTGGAGCGGATGGTCCCAGCCCTGCAAGAAGGTAAGTTTTGGGAAACACCCTCACAACACCCAGCAAGCCCATCCAGCTGCCCTGGTGCCTCAGCCTGGGACGGTGCCCGCCCGAGGGGCCCGCTGGGCTTCTGAGGTTAGCCTTCAAGGAAGCAGACACGTTCCAAATATAGCAGCACCAGGCCCGCACAAAAGCCGGCGTCTCAGAGAAGGAGGCTCTCTGCTTCCTCTGGCAGAGGATCCCACAAAAGGCAGAAGCCTTGGCCACAGGTCCCGCTGTGCCTTTTCAGGATGAGGCTCTGCTCAGGTGAGAGAGAGAGGGAGAGAGGGAGAGAGGGAGAGAGGGAGAGAGGGAGAGAGGGAGAGAGGGAGAGAGGGAGAGAGGGAGAGAGGGAGAGGGAGAGGGAGAGGGAGAGGGAGAGGGAGAGAGAGAGAGAGAGAGCTGGAGCACCAGGTGTGTCCCTTCCCCCTGTATTTAAACCTACATTCATTTCGCTGGGAGGAAATACCATGCAGATTTAAAAAAAAAAAAAAAAAAGTCTATTTCACGCTCCCAGCAGGGTAATCAGTTCTTTCAATCCGGAAGCAACAGAAAACTGTAAAATCTGAACAGAAATTGTTAGATCAAAGGGAAGAGCAAACATTAAAGGGATGAAAGTGCTCTCATTATGTAGCAAAGTGGAAAGCATTTGGGGAAGTTCAATTTTTAAAAATCTGGTTAAAAGGACATAGTTTAAAAATAATTAGGAGGGGCACAGCACAGCAGCCAGTCCGGGGGCGGGGCACCAACCACGCGCCTCACTGGCCTCACACACAGCAGCGAGGAATAAATGTTGAATTATGCACCCTTGTCACATTTCCTAGTTGATTTAAACTGATTTTTAAGGCTTATGTGTGTGTGTGTGTTTAATGCAGCTGGATGAATAGTTGAGGGCTCATGAGCTCTCTCCAGTCACTGTGGTCAGAGCTTCCCTGACCCTCATCTAATGGAGCTTGAAACCTCCGGCCTGGTATAAAGAGACCCACGCACTCCCACCCACCCTCCCACCGGAATGCTGCTTCTTTCTGTGCCAGGCAGCCTTCATGCAGCCTACCCTGGAGCTAGCCCTTGAAGGGACATATGGTCCATCACAACCTTGACCTCTAGCAGAATGGAGCTTCCTGTTCCCCAGAGTTCTGGTCAAAGGCAGCATCTACTTGTTTGACAGGAAACTCACGTGTCCCTCCAGGTCCTTAGATGGGCAGCTATCTAACGTGGCTGCCACTTAGTTGTCACCATCTGGGTTCTGAAGACGATAACATCTGGTTTCAAACTCTGGTCTCGCCACTTATTAGCTATATGAACTTGGGCAGTACTTACACTCCCTGAGCCTTAGTTTCTGCACCTGCAACCAAGGCCCTCTGACACAGGGCGCTGTGAAGACTCAATGAGTTGATAATGGCAAAGTAATTGACATCAAGTTCAGGCTCAGGAGTGACAATAAATGGTTCACTTAAAAGACTGAATCTACGGCTGAAACTGATTTGGCTCAGTGGATAGAGCGTTGGCCTGGGGACTGAAAGGTCCCAGGTTCAATTCCAGTCAAGGTCATGCACCTTGGTTGCGGGCACATCCCCAGTGGGGGTTGTGCAAGAGGCAGCTGATCGATGATTCTCTCATCGATGTTTCTAACTCTATCCCTCTCTCTTCCTCTCTGTAAAAAAAATCAATAAAATGTATTTAATAAAATAAAAAAAAAGACTGAATCTACGATTTGAATGACTTATGCTTTCTCCGTTGCACCTGGAGATACCTAATCAGCAATGACTTCTTCTACGAGGGAAAATGTCCAATTTCTGGCTCAACGTTAATACCTTTCTTGGCTCAAACTGAGCAACAGGTTTCATGACTCATCTCAGAAGTCTCACAAAGATATCAAATTCTGTTTCTGCAGTTTGGAGGACAATAGCTACCTTCATAGGGCTATACACTAAGTGGCCAGATTATTATGATCTCTGAACTCATAATAATCTGGCCACTCAGTGTATATCCTATATAATAAAAGGCCAATATGCAAATTGTCCCCTTGACCAGGAATTCGACCAGCAGGCAGGCTGGCCAACCATCCAAGTCCCCTCTCCCTGGCTGGACTGGCCAGACCCCACCTAAGCATGAATTCATGCACCGGGCCTCCAATATATATACTGAGTGGCCAGATTATTATGCATTCAAAGATCATAATAGTCTGGCCACTCAGTGTATAGCTGTGGGAGAACGTGCAGTGTGGTCCTGTGAAGTAGATTATTGTTATTACCCCAAATTGACAGCTGAAGAGACAGGACAGAGAGGCACTTGCTGTGAGAGCACCCCTAAGGCACCCTGTGTCATACAGATGTTACAGATGTATATAGAATAAGACAGACTAACATTTTCCCACTGGCTCCCAAAACCAGGAGCACGATGTAAAGATAACAAACAGACCAGCTAAATAGAAATGGGATGACTGGGGAGGCTTAGCTTATGGGTAGAGGTGGAGGGGAACTCCAAGCCCATTATTTTGAAGAACCAGGGAAAAGCTCCAGATTCCAGAACTAAACTCTGAAAGCTGGTTAATCATGTGGAATGTTAAAGCCATCACCAGTGGAGAAAGCTCAGCAGGTGTGATCGCTCACTGGCATTTTTCTTTGGTTCGGAGGCCTCAAGCACTTGCTGCTCTTGCAAACATTTAATATCAGTGAATGAGCAGGAGGTGCTGGCACGTGATGCTAAGCCCCTCAGAAGGCTCAGAACATGTTTGTGGGCCTCCCAAACCATTTCTCCCAATGTATATATAAGCTTGTGCATTTTATTCATTCATGTATGTCCTTAATTCTAGGCAGTGGCTATTTTTATTTATTTATTTATTTATTTATTTATTTATTTATTTATTTTGCCAATGGAAAGAGACGTATTGGTACTATAAAGATCTTAGGCCCTTTTGAAGAAAGATTTTTAAAGATACGAATACCTCCTTTCTTCAAATATTAAAAGAGCTATGGGATGAAAGAAGTTCTGTTGGTAATTTGGTCTATTTTGGATTAAAAGCTACAATTGGTTTCAGCTCTCATCTAACTTAGCATTTAAAGTCTTCCCACCTTCCCTTCCCAAACCTATTTCCTGTTCTCCCCTTCATAAATGAAACCCCTTCTCGCTGTGCCTGGCCAGTGAAGGGGGCAGCACCTGCCTTTCCTATGTCCTCCCTGCTGGGCACCCTCCCTATCATGAAAGTTCAAGTGGGAGCCACTTCCTAGAGAATCTTCCTTGATCCCCAAGCCTGACACCGGCTCTCCCATTGAATTTCTCTAATCCTTTCTCCTGACCGCCCCATTGGCACATGCTCTGTCCTGTTTGGCTGGTAAATTTGCAACATATTCTATCTCCGGACTCCATTAAGAGCTTCCAGGGGGCAGGGTCCTTATCTGGCCAGCCTTTGTGTCCCCTACCACGTTTGCACACAATCGGTGCTTTCAGCAGGCATGTGTTGAATACATGAGTAGACCAAGGAACAAATGACTCCATACATGGTTCCCAAGGACACCGGCAATTACATGTCACATCAGTGGCTGTGACCACTCAGCCACAGAGGATGAGTGTAGAGAAGTGGACGTGTGTGTCAGGACTGCTGTTTTACAGCAACAGCTGAATGTTGAAAACCAAAGACTGACATTTTGATGGAGTAAATGTTTGCAACCCCCACCCCACCTCCATCAGCGGCTGTTACAACACCTGCACTTCACTGTTTACAGAGGAGCTCATATGCTGCCATAATTTGTTTGTTTTTGCTTTACTGTTCCTTTGAAGTTTAAAAGCAGACGTGGAAACACCGCAGGGCATGGGGCTGCGGTGGTGGGAGCGGGCTCCCCCATCCCTGGCACTCCGGGGTGTACAAGAAGGTCGGTCCTCCCCCTTGGCGTTATGCACAGAATGAAATATTCCTTCCTTTCAAGATTAATCCAGTGGCTGGCATGCACAGGAGGCTAGTGGGGCTATTTGTCAACTAGCTTTAAATATTTTATGGCAAATGCTCCCCTCTCCCCTGAAAATTGGTCCTTTCGCCATCAATTTCTCAACATCGATATACTCATTGTTGGAGTGAGCAGTATTTCCCTTTGTAGTTACAGCAGTGTTTCTGAAAACAAAGGTGCTTAGTCCTGTTCAAGAGAAAGCGTTGGCTCTTTGGGTTAAGCACACGCGTACCTACGGGCTGAAGCTCAGAAAGACTCCCTTACTCTGGAAGTGGGGAGAAGGCCCAGAGTGGGGTTATCCAGCAGACGGCTCAGACCTGCCTCTGAACAAAAGGAACCCACACCTGGGGTGCAGACAAAGAGAGGCCGCTTCAGCTACCCAAGTCCCAGTTCACATCGCCGGCTGCTGGGGACCCCTAGTGGCCACACATGCCGCCAGCACAGGTGCTCCTGAATGTCCTCAGTGACAGGCAAAGGGGTCCAGAGGTATCGCCCAACTCTCCTATTTGGCCACTTAGCTTGCCAAGATCAGACACCCACACCCACGCACACTTATGCCACGCAGCCAGCTACAATCTCTTTGACTTGAAAGACAGACAGACTCACACAGAGACATAAAGGAGGGTATTTCTTTCTGAAGAAAAAAGAAAATCAGAATTCAGATATAGAGTTCCAGAAACTCATTGAATGTGCTTTCTTCTGCGGATTGCCTTTTCCGGCTTTGTTCCCTGGCATTTTAGATTACAAAAAGCTCTCCCACCGAAACCGGTTTGGCTCAGTGGTAGAGCATCGGTCTGCAGACTGAAAGGTCCCAGGTTCAATTCCGGTCAGGGGCATGTATGTACGTTGGTTGCGGGCGCATCCCCGGTAGGGGGTGTGCAAGAGGCAGCTGGTCGATGTTTCTCTCTCATCGACGTTTCTAGCTCTCTATCTCTCTCCCTTCCTCTCTGTAAAAAAATCAATAAAATATATTAAAAAAAAAAAAAGAAAAAAAAAGAAAAAAAAAAAGCTCTCCCACCCTTCATGCACTCAGAGACATCCAGGATGAGCTAAAGTGAAGTCTGCTCTGGGCAAAGTTGTGCAGTGAGTTTGCTTATTGTGTCTTCTGGGGCACCTCTGGCTTTATGCTCCCGCACGATCAAAATCTGCTTCCACAGAGGGTCTGATGGATGGACTTTCTGCTGTGCAGCCATCTATGCTCTCATTAATTCGTTCTGTGATGCTTGTTGAGCCCCGGGGAGAAGGATACGAGGAAACCACATCCTTGCCCTGTGCATCCTTTAGTCTGACCCTCCCTACCCTTCCTGGGACATATACATTTCAGCTGGGACAAGGCACAGAAATGAGCGCTAATTTAATTATAGGTAGGGATTCTCCATCAAGTATCAATTTTCTTTTCAGCATATATTTTTTTTAAACAAAACCTCCAAAATCAAACCTCAAGGTCTATTTCTAGATAACTAGCAGGTTTAGCTTGTCAGCTTGGGGAACCAAGCGAATACTCTGAATGTTCTGTGCCTTCACTCCCCAGAAAAAGGTCTGAATCATTATTTCCATCTCTTCACCTGTGGCAGCAATGGATGCAGCAACAAAGGAGGAATACCATTTTTATTTTAAAAAATATTTTTAAGGAGGAAGGGTAAATGGCATTGGAGGAAAGCTAACAGACAATATCTGGGCCAATCATCTGATACAGAAAACATATTTTAGCATTTTGCAAATATAGGGGCAAAAGCAGTTGTTTATATGGAAAATAGTACAATAATACTATCTAATAAAAGAGTAATATGCAAATTAACCATCACTTTGCTACATCCACCAGCCATGATAACCAATCAGGAATGAGTATGCAAATTAACACAATCAAGATGGTTTAAATGGGCAGTCGGACATCCTCCAGGGGTCCCAGATTGGAAAGCGTGCAGGCTGGGCTAAGGGACCCCCCCCCCCCACCTGACCCCTGTGCATGAATTTTGTGCACCAGGCCTCTAGTTAATAATAATAGTACAAGAATAAACTCATTGTTTCTCATACTCCCAACTGATTCAAAAAGTACTGTGAATACCTCCTAAAATTCACTAAGCCAAATACCTGTTTTCACCTGAGTGAGTTTCCTCTCCCAAAGGCTGATTTTAATACCAAGGGGAAGACCAAATTTCATGTCTATAGATTACCTGGGAGTCTTGCTAAAATGCAGGTTCAGATTCAGCAGGTAGGTGTGGG